AACATGATTTCTACTATTCCCCAACATTACAAAGTAGGAGGACCATAGATGTACTTCCAAGTTTGAAATTCTTGCAGGGCAAGGAGTATTTGTAAATTTCTGCCATGAGTCCACATACTTACTTATTTTCTAGGGTATCAATCCTTCTCTTTTGAGGCCATGCAGAATACATCTCTCATTCTCATCTTTTCAGATGTAGCAAACATTAGCATTTTTAAAGCCATAGTGTTTTTCTGTTAATTATATGTGGACCAAAAAAAACAGTAAAACTCGCCTGCAACACCTAAACTTAAATATCAAGAAAGAAAACCACTACTATGCATGTGAAATAAAATGTAGGTTATAAATAAATAATGTTTTACTATAATTAATTCTTATGTGGTATTTTCAGTTTAAGCATGCTAATTTTTTTCTATTAAATACAGTAAATGGTCTTACTTAATGCATTCATTCACATAGCAAGAATCTTGAAAGTAATGAATTATTTTAGAGTATTTCTCTAGCGCTTTTTGTGGGAAAACTATCCTTGAATGTTCCATTTTGGGTATGTTCTACATTTATGAAATGGATCAAAATTAAAGAATGAAATCAATTATGAGAGACTCAGTTCTGATACGCTAAATTTAAAAGTTTGATATTTTCATTAAGTGCAGGAATGACAAAAAGTCCTCTGATTTCCTGGGAAAAAAGAATATAGTCCTTTCCCAAGTCATTTCTATTCTTTTAAAGATCAAGATTTAAAGTGTTCATTTGAAAGTTCTGTTTATGTAGTGGAAAGCTCTCAAGGTTGACAATGAGAGCTTTGCTGAAATTTTTCAGGATATTGGTTAAACTGGGTTTGGTTTTATTTTACCCTCAGGATAGCATGGACACCATGAGGTCCCCGACATACCCGTGACTAACGTCCACTGCTCTTCATTACAGGGTGACAGTGGTGGGCCTCTGGTCTGTGAGCGGCCTGGAGGACAGTGGACATTATTTGGCTTAACTTCATGGGGCTCTGTCTGCTTTTCCAAAGTCCTGGGACCTGGAGTTTATAGCAACGTGACATACTTTGTCAAATGGATTGAAAGACAAATATACATCCACGCCTTTTTCCTAAACTAATTCCAAAGATGATCAGAGACTTTTACCAGCGACACTCAGAGCAAATAGCCTTCTCGATAGTGGAGGACTTCCTGCAGAGAGCAGTGTGGAAGCAACTTTCATGGACAGTAATGCTCCGCAGTGCACTGCAAATGTTCATGTTTGTCTTGGTCTAATTTTATGCAGCTTTTTTTTTTTAATTCTATTTTTCTCTTGCATCAAGTTGAATGAAAATCTTTTAAAAACCAACGCAAAACAGAGTTTGTTCTTTTGCCAGGCAGGCCTAACCTTAACTGTAACATGAAATGATCAACTCTGGAAAGAGAAGAGTGAGGGGACTAGGGTAACAGGTTAGAGAAAGTTCCCTTTTGTCCAATCACATAAAGGACATTGAGATCCAGGCTGACTAATCTTTGCCAGCTTTTGTTTCTCAAGCACAAGAGCATAATATGGCAAATTACAATATTAACATCAGAGACTTGCTTTTGATTTATTAAAAGCCAAGATAATTTACATGCTTAAGTTATTTACTATTACTCTTCTAAAGTTTGCATAATGCTGAGAACTTATGAAAGACAGAGCATCCATTTAGGTAGCTGAAATAGCAAATCACATTGAGCACAAAGCTCTTTTGACATCAATATTAGCACTTGACATGCTTGGACTGCCCATTCTGAATTTAAATCAAGATTGTAATTTTATAGAAAGTCTCCAAAGAACCTTCCTAGAGCTGGGGTTTGTTCACTGTGTATCACTTAGCCAATTGAGATTTCGACAACTGGGAAAATACCTGTGGGAAATATTTCATTCTGCCTATGTGACAATGAAGTTGAGATTAAACTTTACTATAGGAGGATTTGCTTTAGAGTAGAGAGATGCAATCTTTTTAAAAGAAAATTGCACCCCACCCCTAATTAAGTATTTTTCAGTTTTCTTGTGTTTGTCCATACCAATAAAGTCACAAAAATGTATCTGAAAGCACGGTAAAACTTTGCACGGAGAAAAACATTTTGTAATTGTCCTTGAAAGATGTTTAATATCTGGTGTTGCCATTTCTTCCCATTGATAATTAAAACAAAAATTTAAAGATGCTTTTAAGCACTAGGCCACTTTACACACATCAACTTTGAAGTAATTAGTGGTTACAGTATTTTTTCCCCGCAAAAAAGCTTCAAAACACAAATCTTTACATGCACCTACTTAAATTAGTCAGGCATCCATTTTGCAACATACAAATGCCTTTTGAACAAGTAGGATTCCCTCCACCAGCAACCTGGGCTGTCTCAGCATTCCCCAGAGACTACCTGCAATTTTATACGTGTCTTTTTTGTACTCTTTTCTATATGTGTGCGTAGATGACATTCGAAAAGTTGTCTTGACACTTTCCACATTATTCATCTCTTGTTCTGTAGTTTATATAAACCTGTTGAGAATGTAAAATCTGGCAACCGAATTGTGGTCACAGCTGTATGAAAGTTTAAGAACATGTTCTGTTATACTTATAGGTACATAATGTAACAACATATGCTCAACTTATGTTCAGTGAGATACACATATTGTACTTACTTTAAGTAACCCTTAATACAAATAAAATGGTATAATCTTTTCTTTCTATGGATATAAAACATGGAGCAAGCCCCTGAAAACGGTGCCTCCCACTATTATAGTTGGCACCCAGTTTCCCACCAATCAAAATTTTCTTGTCTTATATCTCACTCCCCCAGGAACATACTCTTTTATTTTATATGGAAGATGGCTCTTTGATTAGTCTGAAATGAGAGGTTGCTAGCAGTCTCCAATAACCCATTGAGGGTCCAAGGAAAACTTCAGCCCTGATAAGAAGGCAAGGATCTTTCATGTCTAGAGCACATTTTGGGAATCTGATCCAATTCTTTTATAAATCTTTTTGGGTAAAATTGTATCACACATGTATACTGTTAATTTTTTTTTTTTTTTTGGCTACTAGGGGCAGATTTGGGCTCCCCCAAATTTGGTGAAATACACTGAATACCAAAATGCAACAGACCACGTCAGCTTGGGTAACTTTGTGTAAAAGAGTTATTGTAGATAAGACCCTTTAAAGGCTTCATACAGATCCCAAATCTCTTTTGCCTGAGGGCCAGAGGTGTTTCAGAATCCAGAATTTTAAAAAAATTTAAAAAGCATAATATTACAACGTTTAGCACCCAGTATAAAATCTACTAATATTTTCATAGCAAAATATGTGAATAATTACATTAAATAAATAAATAGCCTTACATCTGTTTAAGACATTGAATTTGTGCCTAATTTATGAAAACTTTTTCAGTTTTCAGAGTTCTTGAGATTGTGGAATTGTGGATAAGAGATTATAGACCCATAACATGAAGACTCAAGACTTTCCTCTACTCGTGTGTACAGATACTTTACATCCTGGAGATTGACCCTTTCTCTTAGTCTTTTGGACTCAGTCTTTTTATCCTTAGATTCTAGTCTTTTATTTGCAAGTGAATATATCTCTAAATTTTTATTTATCGGAAGATGATGATCTCAAGGAATGAATGCCAGCTGCTACGAGGATCACTGACTTTTCCATGTAAGAAAAGGTCAAAACAGTATTCTGGTAAAAGGTGTGCTTTGGGATTTTCCTTCTAAGCTCTGGTACCAATTACTGTTGGATTTGGTGAGTATCTATAGGAGCAATGACAGCTTTTTGTATATGTTATTTATTAAACAGTTTATTTTTTTAAAAATCTTATGAAAGAAGAAAGCTACCTCCATTAGCCATATGGGATTTTGAATATTCTAGAAATCAGTCTGTATAAAAGACCACTTGCAAAAACATCAGAAGGCTACAAAAAATGTCAGACCAGGACAGTAGGTAGCAGGTAGAAGACTAAGCCCTGAGCATAATACTTGAATAGTCATTAAGAAGAGCTTCATATAGACATGGAACGTCAGTATGGAAATTTCATGAAGGAAATTCTGGGTGGCTGACAATTTTCAGATGGACAGATACAGACTTTTAAAAGAACTCAACAATATATAATCTTAAAATGATACCTGGCAGTTTTGGTAGAAACTAGTTTCTTTGTTCCAACTAAAACCAGCATACATGATTTACAACAGCAATTAACTTTATATAGACATTCTTGTCCTAAAATGTATTAAAAAACAAATCTAAGAACCTCATGGGATCCTCCTGAGAACCACCTGTATTAGTGTCAGTTCCATAATATCTCATTTTCAGAGGCTGCAACAGCAGAAAAGTTGTAGGGTATTATAAAGACTATAAACCCTCATATGATCTCCCTAAGACTGTTCTGAAATTGATTGTCTCATTTTGATTAGGCTATTGTCAGTTTTAGAATATGGGAAATTGACAAAGGGCCCCTAGACTCAGCTGATTTTGTATTCCTTACCTATGGCCTCTGTTTCCCAATTGAAAACATCTGCACAGACGTATACCTCATAAAAAGTCTTCTGTTGACAGGAAGCAGAGAGAAGAACACATCTCCATGGAACTCTGGCATCCCTGCTGCCCCTTACCAGTGAAGCCTTCCACCTCGGGAGAACACTGAAATGAGCAGATAGTAAAATAAATATATGTCTCAAATGAATTCCCTTGAAAATATTTGCATGTCTAGCACAATTAAAATGCTTTTACAAAATCCAAAAAGTTTCCTAAAAGCATTTGATTCTGAATTAAATATTTCACTTCTCTAAACTCTGTTCAGGTCAAACTCTAACTTCCTTTACAAATGTCTACAAACATACAGTAAAGGTCATCACATTGGCTTTTCCAAGCCCAGTAAAATGTTCTTGTCCCTTAAGGAAAAATCCAAGTCATGCTGGTTTGGTAGAGGAACCTCTTCAAAGGCCCTCTTTCAAACTTGAAGGACTACTTGCAACTCCAGGGAGGGTATTCTGCTCTTTTAATCCTTTGAGGGTCCAGCCATCCCTGAGGCCTTATTTTCAGAGTAGTCTGAGTCTAAAGCAGTTTCACATACAGATAAATTCCCTTGCTCAACAGCACAAGAAGTTGCCGACATCACTGCAAAGACAGCAGAAGGGTCAGAAATGGGTATTCTCTCTGACTTAACAGCGGAGTGGTCAGAATACTTAGATGTCAACTGATCCATCTTTCCAGCCCCTTTCCACTTCTTGAGAGCTTCAGTCCTGTCCTCTGCAGGCAGTCTGTCAAAGAGTTTCGCCCTCAGAATTGGAGATGGGAACAGGGATCCCTGAAGAACTCTGTATATAAACCTAGGTTACAAAAAGCATCACAGAATTACATTCACCTCAATTGCATTATGGGACACAAAAAGTACTCACCAATTAGAAAAAGTAGAAGGGTCTCCTGACCCTTCTTGAGGTAAAGGGGGAGAATAAGTGAATTATAAAATGGAAAATATAACAATATTAAATTAGTATTTGTGAAACACTGAGAAAATAGTGAGTTCCTGAGTGTCAAATAAATCAAAAATAAAACCTGTAAAAGTAGAGATACCAATAGTGCTACAGCCTTAATGTTAAGTTAAATGAGATAATACATATAAAGCAGGCCAAGCATTGGCACACAGTGAGTGAGTATTTTTTTAAATGCTAGCTGTTAGTTTCCTATGGCTATTGCAGCAAATTACCACAAACTTGTCCCTTTCAGTCCAAGCTGACAGTATTTATGCTGCTATAGCAGTCACAAAAACCTTGTGAGTCTCCAATGTATGTCATGGGTATTTACACCATTAGATAAGAGGGTCCTCCACAGATCTTTCCTGTATATCCCACCTCCTTCCTTGGTGACTGCTGAGATGGCTAAGAGGATCCATGAGTCACATATCTAATCTCTTCAGCACTAGCAAAGGCTGTCCAGCCACACTCTGGGCCTTCGCTCCAGAGCATACTCCCAACAGCCAATCTCCTAATTTTAGCAAATTTGAAATCTGGATAGGCTGAGAATTTTCTAAATCTAGTTCCTTTGGGCTTAACAAGTACTTCCCTCAGTCTCTTTTCTCTCACATTTTTCTGTAAGAGGCAAGAAGAAACCAGACCAAACCTTCAAAAATTTGCTTAGAAAACTCCTCAGCTAAACATCCAAGTTCATCACTTACAAATTCTGCTTTCCACATAACAGCAGAACACAATTCAGCTAAGTTTTTTGCCACTGTATTGCAAAGATCCCCTTTCCTCCAATTTCGAATAACTTGTTTCTCCTTTCCTTCTGAGACCTCACCCGCAGTGCCTTTAACGTTCATATTTCTAGCAACATTCTACTTATGATCATTTACGTGTTTTCCAAGATGATATGGCTCTCTCTGCCCATGCTTCCTCCTTGCTTCTGAATTTTCACCAGCAGACACTGTAATGTCCATACTTCTATTGACAGTCTGTTTAAGGGAGTCTAGTATGTTTCTATTATGTGCCTCAAAATTCTTCCAGTCTCTGCCCATTATCTAATTTCAAAGTCTATTTCACATTTTTAGGTATTTGTTACAGCAGCACCCACGTTTCTGATACCAAAGTCTGTATTAGTTTCCTATAGCTGCTGTAACAAATTACCATAAGTGGGCTGGCTTAGAATAACAAAACCTTGTTCTCTCACAGTTCTGAAGGCCAAGAATTCCGAAATCAGTTTCACTGAAACAAAATCAAGGTGTTGGAAAGGCCATGCTCCCTCTGGAGGCTCTAGGGGAGAACTCACTCCTTGCTCCTTCTGGCTTCTGGTGGCTGCAGGCATTCCTTGGCTTGTGACCCAGAGATCTCTGCTACCATGGTCAAAGTGCTTTCTCCTTTTCTGTCAGTGTCAAATCTCACCCTGCCTCTCTCTGATAAAGACACTTGTGAGGGCATTTTGGGCCCAGCCAGATAATCTCCCCATCTCAAGATCCTTAATCACATCTGCAAATTCCTTTTTTTGCTAAATAAATAAAACATTCACCAGGTTCCAGGGATTAGGACACAGATGTATTTTAGGGGTCCGTTTTTTCAGCTCACCACAACAATATTAGATAAAATTGTACCATTAATGCTCTTGAAGAAAAATTTCAGGCTATAACTTAAAAGTAATTGTTTCTTCCTAAATTCTAAAAGTTCATCTTGTCAGTTTTTAATCTGAAAGCTGGTAATAACAGTGAACACTACAGAACCATCTCAGTTTACCAGTGATATTAAGTATACAACTGGAACCACCACAGAATGACTCAGGTGGGTTTTTCTTATGCATTTCTAGAACGGATGTCTTTCAGCAACAAAGGGTTTGTGCCCACTGTGCCTTATGATTGTATTACAGACTGGGGTTGGCAAACTTTTGTCCAATGGACCAGACAGTAATAGCTCAGGTTTTGTGAGCCAAATAGTCTCTGTTGGAACTGTTCAACTCTGTTGTTGTAGTGCAAAAGCAGCCATAGACAATATTTAAATTAGTGAGTATGTCTATGTTCCAATAAAACTTTACCAAAACAGGCAGTGGGTCAGATTTGGCCTGTGAGCCAATTTGTCAACCCTGTTAGAGAATAATATTGAATCACCATTTGATGTTCATATCATGTTTAAAAAGGTAGAACAGGGCTTCCCTGGTGGCGCAGTGGTTGAGAGTCCGCCTGCCGATGCAGGGGACACGGGTTCGTGCCCCGGTCCGGGAAGATCCCACATGCTGCGGAGCGGCTGAGCCCGTGAGCCATGGCCACTGAGCCTGCGCGTCCGGAGCCTGTGCTCCGCAACGGGAGAGACCACAACAGTGAGAGGCCCGCGTACCGCAAAAAACAAAAACAAAAAAACAAAAACAAACAAACAAACAAAATAGGTAGAACAGCGATTTGCTATAGTGTTTTCAGCTAAACAGATAGATTTTATAAAACTATAAAGGGGAAGAGCTCTAAAGAGTTCAAGAAATCTATAGATTGCAAAAAACAACAAAAAAACAAAAACAAACAAACAAACAAAATAGGTAGAACAGCGATTTGCTATAGTGTTTTCAGCTAAACAGATAGATTTTATAAAACTATAAAGGGGAAGAGCTCTAAAGAGTTCAAGAAATCTATAGATTAGAAACCCATGCATACCTCTTAGCCATTTCCATCCCATACGATATGAGAAATCAAGTTAAACTAAAATGGGAAAGTAACTGAAGTCAGAGAAGGGAGGTAAGTTTTCAGTGTTTATAGATCGTAGCAGAGATACGTGTCCCTCAGTACCCATTCTTCTTTTTAGAAGCCCCCAGATTTTAGCCACTCAGAGTCTACATACCCAGGTTCTAGTTAATGGGATATGACCAATGATGTGTACCACATCTGGGTCATGACAATACAAAAAAGAATAAAAAAGAAGAAAGATGGAAAGCTGCATGCCTTCCATCTTCTCTTTCTCCCTCCTGCAGGCTAAGATGCAGGGATGCAGCGACCCATGACCTGGATGTGCTGGTGGTGAGTCATCTTTAGTCACGCAGATGAGGGCAACGCCCTTGGGAGATGGCAGAAGAAAAAGAGGAAAGGAAAGGATCTAGGTCCTCGAATACCTTTGTGAAGTAAAGCTGCCCTATCCCTGTGGACTATCAACCAGACTAGAATTTTCCTTGAGAGAGAAATAAATTTTTTCATTTGCTTAAGCCACGTCTGTTCCCTGGCATATTTTAACTAGTACACAGACCGACTTTTCCACTACTAAACAGGACGGTCTACTGTCTATTCTTAGCAGTCGCTTGACGAATTCTAAGCCTATGACTTCACTTACTCTCTTGATGATAAAATAAACACCATACCTGGGCAGAAGAGCAACACAGGTTGTGAGAACACAAACTAAGCAGAACACTGGATCCAGCATGTGTTCCTGCATAATCCAATAGGGGTTGGATGGTGGGTTGCAAGTTACACACATGGCTCCAAAAACCAAGGCAAAGAAAAAATAAGACAAGATGCTCCCAACGATGACCAGCATGTGGATCCAAGTCTGCAAGACACGAAAAGCAGAGGAGATGAACACGCTCTGATAATTTTGCAGCCTGGCAAAATCTGCTCTGTTGAAGAGACATCACATTCCAAGCAGTGGGTGAATGGTGTAACAAACCTTAGTGAACAAAACACAAAATATTGAAGCGAGAAGGCAAGAGCACCTTTTGTGAATAGCTCATATCAGTGTTTAAGTTCTATAAAACTATGTCAAATACCAAAAAGTAACTCTGGTGCCTAGTTTACTTTGTATTGTCCAGGCACCATGAGGTGTTAGGATTTTCTCCTTATTTTTCCATATAGTCACTTACTGGTCTACTTCTTGTTTAAGATAATAGCTTAATCCAGTGAACCTCAAACTTTATCCATTTAAGTAGGTGGTAGACATTACTGTTGCTCACCAATATTCTCATTCTCTTCCTCTAATAAGCATTTGGGAGGATTGCATTTCCCCACCCCCTTGAAATTAAGCATGGCCACATGTCTTGCTTTGACTGATGAAACGCGGATGGAAGGGATGTGCAAGACTTTCTGATTAGAAGCATGGAAGAGCTGGTGTGCAATTTTCCATACTGTCTCCTTTCCTTCCACGTCTGACCAAGAAGTTCTTCTTGGGGATAATTCCAGGTGGTACAGCTACGAGACACAGCTTGGGTCACTGAGCCACCCCTCAGAGGATAATTTCTCTAGAGCTGTCTGGAACCTTAGTAACTTTACATGAGCAAGAAATACATCTCTTTATATCACACTATAACCTATCCACCTTCATATCTACATAGAGCTTGCATTATTATTTTTTTAAATTTTTCTGTAAACTGGCTCACTATCTAATTAAGTAAATTTATTTAGAAAGAAAAGCAGATCACTACCTTAAATGTAATATCAGCATTACCTGTCATAACAGTGATGAGTCTGGGGTCTGATCTGTCTTTGTTACAAAGGGAAATTAGCAAGAGTTATTGCGAGAAAAAGTAACAGCCCCAAACAGAATTCTTCTCTGACATAATCTGAAGTATGAGAGAATCACCTTCATGTTGTGCAGTAGTCAGTGTTACTTAGTGCAGTGTACAGTCCCACCTAAAATCATTGTGTATACCATGGTGGTACACATTACTCTTTTGGGGGAAGACTGCTTTTATTAATCATTTTCACTCTCTAGGGCTATAATTCTCAAACAAGACCCAATATTCTCCATTTTCCTCTTAACCTTGCAAAGTATTTCTCCAGGGTAGATAGTTTCACAAGAGTCACAAAGACTACTCATATTTTATAAAGATACACAAAATGCTCAGAAAATGTTGGCCCAATTTTTTTTTTTCTCAAATGCTCTTGCTTCCCACTGAGCCCTGATTTTTTTTTCCTTTAAGAAGCGCTTTTGGCAAGTGACATGTGACTTGATGGAGTTGACTCGTTTAAATAAATGGATGCAGTGAAAGTCAAGGGACGCTGGGTAAAAACTGACAGGGAGGTGGGAGAGGTAGCAAAGGGATGGTGCGCAAAAGTGTGAAGGAAACCAATTCATATTCTCAGAATGACTGACTCTTACTGACAACAGACCTTCAGAGGCCATGAGCTTTAGCCTTCCCTGGTGTGAGAAACAATTCTTAAATGATGCATCCTTTATAGAGTAGTCACTGTTCTCGGCACCTGGCTTTCATTCCCCTTCTCTTAGTGAAGACACCCAGCGCTATGCACAGTCTTGGTAAAATATTCCTCCTCTCGCCAAAGCCTATGGCTGGAGCTAAGGAAACAGAATTCTATCACCAGGGACTGAACCTGGAGCACAATGAATGAGGCAAGAGCAGAAAATGACTGGGGCCAAATCAGACCAGAGTACCAGCCTGGTAAGCCTGTCCATTGGTTTCTGTTCCCTGGATCTCTGGAGCCACTCTGGATCCTCGGGATGTTTTTTTGTTTGTTTGTTTTACCGTGATTTTCAATATATTTTGAATAACTTTTCCATTTGCTCAGGTTAGTCAAAATAGTTTGCTGCTGCTCATAACCACTGAACCCAAACTGACGCTTGACATGTTAGAGCCTCTGGAACACTAATCAGTGTCAGAACTTAAAACACTTCCTTAGGCAGTAGCAAAAGTACCTACATAATTGCTTAAAAATGAAATTCAATAAATATTCAAACAACCCCACATATTTTAGTTCTAGAATTCTCTTTACTCTTCCCATCTAGTATTTGCAGCTATTAACCTTTTACAACACTTTAGGCTTGTAAGGTCTGGTTATAGCAGGTTGTAAGCAAAGCAGGTGATGTCAAAAATATTCAGCCCTACTTAAGAAATTATAAATAATCTCAATATATAACTTTGTATAACATTTAAAACTACAGCCTCATTCAGGGCTTCCCTGGTGGCGCAGTGGTTGAGAGTCCGCCTGCCGATGAAGGGGACGCGGGTTCGTGCCCCGGTCTGGGAAGATCCCACGTGCCGTGGAGCGGCTGGGCCCATGAGCCATGGCCGCTGAGCCTGCGCGTCCAGAGCCTGTGCTCCGCAGCGGAAGAGGCCACAGCAGTGAGAGGCCCACGTACCGCAAAAACAAACAAACAAAAAAAACTATAACCTCATTCAGCTATTTCCTGTTTGAAATGCATCACCACCAACATGTTATATATACCCCAAACACTGGTTACTCATTTAATCACTCATTTATTCATTCAAATATTTTTTGAGCACAAACTGTGTGCCAGTCTTGTCCTAGATACTTGTATACAGTGGTGAACAAAATAAACATGAACCCTGTCCTCAAAGAGATTATAGTCTAATGTAGAAGAGAAACACGAATAGTACAATCACATAATTAAATGAAGAATTATAAGTTATTATTAGGACTATGAATAAAAACAAGAGGATGGGGCCTCCCTGGTGGCGCAGTGGTTGAGAGTCCGCCTGCCGATGCAGGGGATATGGGTTCGTGCCCCGGTCCGGGAGGATCCCACATGCCGCGGAGCAGCTGGGCCCGTGAGCCATGGCCGCTGAGCTTGCGCGTCCGGCAACGGGAGAGGCCACGACAGTGAGAGGCCCACATATCGCAAAAAAAAGAAAAAAAAAAAAAAACAAGAGGATGGTGTGAAAAAATGGATGGTTAGGGAAGGGCTCTTGGGAGAAGCAGCACTTTTGATGAAACCTACAATAACATTTGAGCTGGGTAGAGTACAGGGATCTGAAAGTGGGCTAGGAATGCTCCCATCAGAAGATACGGTCTGTGCTAAGGCAGTTTACTTGCCAGACATGGGTGGGATGTTCTTCACTTGCAGACAAAGGTTTAAAGTAAAGCTCTCTTTACCTGAATCCTTCATATTAGCTTTGCTGTAGAGATACCCTGCAATCTTTTTGTTTTTTTTTTTTTGAGGTACGCGGGCCTCTCACTGTTGTGGCCTCTCCCGTTGCGGAGCACAGGCTCCAGACGCACAGGCTCAGCGGCCATGGCTCACGGGCCCAGCCGCTCCGCGCCATGTGGGATCTTCCCGGACCGGGGCACGAACCCATGTCCCCTGCATCGGCAGGCAGACTCCCAACCACTGCACCACCAGGGAAGGCCCCTGCAATCATTTTGATGAAAAGACTTAACTTTATCATTAAGCTGGCAACTAAGTTCAAAAAGACCTAGCTGTAAATGAAATGAATGGTAAAAATTCTGGAGGGAGAAAAAATTTTTTTTTGTATTATGAGAAAAGCATCAAATCATCACTTACAGAAGTCAGTATATCAGGATTATGGCATTACACCGGTTTTCCTTTTAGTTGAAAGGCAACAGCTTGGTCTTGAAGGATGCTGTCCATAGAAGTGTAATTGTTTCTCCAGCCTGACTCACCTCCACTAACCATCCACACCGTGGATGCCACCAAGGGGACCAGGCAGGTGTTCTCCACTCTCCCTGGCTGCACATCAACCTCAGCATAACGGCACTCAACGATCCACAAGAGTGGTCGTGGATCACCCTTATTCCTTAGAGTCATTACTCTTCTTATGACCACTTGTCTTGTAGGCATGAAGACAATTCCCCCAATGAGTTTCAGGCTACTTCAGAGGCAGGAAAACTACTCACCAAACTCTTGCTTTCAATTACCAGATGGAGGACAATGATGAACAGAGCAGCTGTGTTCAGGGGGTTTCCAAAGGTAAAGATGTCAATGTCTGAGCCCTGGTAGGTCTACAAAGAGAGAACAAAAGTCGGTGATCTTGGAGAGTTGTGTACCCTCAGCCACACAGTATCATCAGTTTCATCACTCTATTCCACGACCCAAGTGAGGACTGAGTCCCTTTCTTCAGTGTTCCTGATAACTGATCATTTAGGATAAACTTGAACATTTTTAGAAAAAGAGACTCTCTCCCAGACAGGCCATCTAAATTTTGAACTTTTTGGTTGGAATTCCTCTGCATTCTGAATCATAATTCATTTTCCCTGATCCTTTTACTTATACTTCCAACTCTTTGAGGTATAGAGAAAGATCAAATCTGTTCCACTTAACAGAGCTGAAAATCTCTGAAGCAGGTACTCTGGCTAACCTGAGTTTATACCCCGGTTAAGTAAATATCCACCCCTCTCATACGCATATGTCTTCAAAGTCCTTAAAGGATTCCGCAAATGACACAATTTTCTGATCTTTTACAATTCTAGTCATTCTCTCCTAAATACACTTCAGATGCCTTATCTATATACCTCTTGAAATGCAGTATCCCTAGAATATTCTAGCTGGGTAAATTCAAGTAATTTCATTTGAATAAAGAATGAAAATTGTTAACTTAGAGACTATTACCTTTTCCCTTTTTATTACTGAACTTTTGTTATCCATCCGTGATCATATTAGTGTTTTCTTCCAGGGAGGGGGTGTGTGTGAATGGGCAGCTACGTCATGCTGCTTTGTGCTTGGTGTTGGCCTAAACTTTTAAATTCATTTACACATTCTCTGCTCAGTCACATTTCTTCCATTCTTTACCTGTTTAACAATTTTTTTTTTCTTTTAGTTTTGGGGAGCCTCTACTTAAATTTAATACTCGGAATGTCATCCTGGTAGAATTAGCCCAGCACTCCCTAATAACAGCTTTCATATTCTGACCTTGCCTCTCTGATTCTGACTCATTTAATTATAAGCCAGGCTTTCAACTTTAAAGTCATTGATGAAAACTATCAAGCAGTACAGGGCTAAAAAAGAGACCCAGGAGGACTCAGCTAAGCACTTCTCTCCAAATTTAATCCATTACCTAACATATTTGGGAGGAGTGTTATAATGTAGTCAGTAAATAATCAACTTGATTATATGAGCAAACTACCCTAATATACCCATTCTATATGCTGATACTGGTGACAGAGTACAAAGAGGTACCATTGATTAACAACAAATCCTTTGAGTGAACAAGGACTTACATAGTAAGGCACAAAGAAGCAGACCAGGCTTTGATAAAAGGCATCCAACAAGGTGATCCAGAAGGTGAGTGGTAAGTATGCCTGAAAATGAAACAGATATTGGGGAGGGAGTAAGATTAGTAACAGTCAAGCAAGATCAAGGAACAACACAAGCCAGTACTTGTTTTTGCTTCTCTGAGAGAAAAATCTATTCCTTCATTCTCTCATTCACAAAACAGGTGAGATTTGTAAGTAGTAGTGGAAGAATGAGGGGTGACCATTGAATGAGATGAGTTCACAGGGGAAAAATAACCCTGAAGGAACTCTTCAACTCCTATTGCTTTTATCATTGGATCAATCTTAAATCTACCTCAAATAAGGACAGTAGTACTAATTTCCATTTCCCATTGATCAGAAAACAGTTTCAAAAACTTCTCCAATCCATCCACCTTTATTTCCATTACTCCCTTCATTCTAATTCACCATCAACTCTCTATGAATGATGGGACAGCCATCTAACTGGCCTCTTTGCTTCCTCTCTCAGCCCTAATCCAATCTTCCCACAGCAGCCAGATGGTTTTAAAAAATGTAAATCAGGTCATGCCATCTCCCTAATTAATCAAACTGACCACCCCTCCTATTCCTCCAATGACTTCCACTGCATTTCCCATACAATCTAAGTTCCTTCCCATGGTCTAGGAGGTCCTGCATGGTCTGCCCATGGAAGCCCCTGCTCTCCAGGGCCACCCACCTGTTCTGTCATTCACCATCCTCCCAACACACAGGCTTCACCCTATTTCTCAAATATGCCAATCCCCTCTTTCCTCAGGGCTTCACCTGTGCTGTCATCTCTGCCAGAAATTCTTCCTGGACCTCCACACGACCAGTTCCTCACTATTCATATCCCAGCTCAAATATCACTTCCTCATAGAGGCACAGACCCCAGACCAGTCTAAAAGTCATGCCCACTTAATCATTTACTACCATGGCATTCTTAGAAGTCTCTCATCACCATCGGAAATAATCTTATCTGTTTACCTAATGATTTTATGTTTCTCTCAACAGAATGCAAGCTTCATAAAGTGGAACCTGGGCTCTCTTATTCAAGTGATTAAAACAGTGCCTGGTACATAGCAGGTACTCAAATATTTGTTGGATTAATAAACTATTCTTATATAACTTTTCACGTGCTAAACTGCTTCCTACCAAAAGCTTGTAGAAACAGAGAAAGATCAAGTAGAGATACCAGTCAAGTGACTGAAAACAGGTTTTCAAACAAAAGATAGTTCTGATCAAATAGTAATGTGTGTGCAAAAGGATTCTGAGGCTCCATTCAGACCCAGCAGGAAGGATGGAGTGCTACAGTGTATTAGTGATGTCTGCCATGAACAAAAATGATAACACATGTATCATATCCCTGAGCTAGTCTTCCCTTTTCTTAACGTGTTTATAGTCTTATTTCCTTTCAAATGCAAAAAGAAACTGAAATTTTCTTGAAAATGTGTAATTGTCTCCTAAAGCTTTATAAATATACAACATCTCCATATAAATTCTTCTGTCCTTCAAGAGATTACACTTAGAAGTTCTACATCTTTTTTTTTTTCTTTTTTATCTCTTTGTCCTCTAAAATCAAAGCAATGAAGATTCATCATTTCCAGTCTACTTTTCCCTGTAGCTTCTTTTACAACTCTGTCATGGGGAATGATGGAATCTTCTACCTGCCTTTCTTCATCCAAGGGTCCATAAACTCTAAGCAGAAGCACAATCAAATGGTGGAAGAAAATGGGGCAGAGTCAAAGGGGCAACCAAAATGTCACTGGACAAGAGAGAACAATTTCAGGATAAGTTAAAATATAGCTTCATGCTTCTGGGGGAACAGAGGTTGCTCAAAAAACCTAGAGCCAAAAGGTTAACAAGCACACTTTCTCCACAGTAATGTGAGCAAGGGGATTAGGGGTAGAGAAGGGTTATGGATAAATGAAGGGCTGAAGGGAGTGACTCATGGGATCTCCTGGAAACTGAGAGGGAAAACCTGGACATGAAGTCAAAGCCAGGAAAGAAGGCTGTGTGGGTGATGAGAGATGGGTAATAGACGATTGCTTCTTGGAAGGGACGCTTCTGGCTGCAGCCTTCCAGACTCATCTCCTTTCAAGGAGAGAGATGCTATAACCCTGGGAAGTATATTTCATGACACCAAAGACAGGAAATGGCCCAAGCATAAAATAGAATTTGTTTGGAGGCCAAGTTCAAAGGAAGGACAACTCTTCCGGAAGGTAACGTCAATGAAATTAATTACCTTTTATCAATAGCCACATGCTGGGACTCTGCCTGCTTTACCATGTATTATAAAACTGGCCAGCTCAATAGAACAATGTGTGCAAAGGCTTGATAGCAGTGTTCAACAATAGGAAACAATGACCTCAACTCTTCCAAGTGTAAAGACTAATTACAATCTTCAGGCTGAACAAACGGGCTTTTAAAACACCAAGCTATAAAAATGTTAAAGGTCTGCTTTTACCCCTCTCTCCCCAATGGACTTGGAATTTAACTTAGACCTACGGTACAGGACAATCTTCATTAATATCAACCACATATTCCTGCACCCCTGGCCTTGAGCTTTAAGTCAGATTGGACTTTTTTAGGAAAACCTCATGTGGTTCCTTGATCTGAATGGGTTGGATGATATTAAAGGATTGTAAGGATTTCTTCCTCCCTGGAAGTTGACTTCTCCATGTTGGCTGCACCACGAGCCTAGGGACATTAAATTACCCTCAGTCTCAAAAGGCAGTTCAACCCATAATAAAATTGGATTGATGAAAATAAATGCATCTTTTTTGTGTGTGTGTGGTACACGGGCCTCTCCCTGTTGTGGCCTCTCCCGTTGCGGAGCACAGGCTCCGGACGCGCGGGCTCAGCGGCCATGGCTCACGGGCCCAGCCGCTCCGCGGCACGTGGGATCTTCCCGGACCGGGGCACGAACCCGCGTCCCCTGCATCGGCAGGCGGACTCTCAACCACTGCGCCACCAGGGAAGCCCAATGCATCATTTTAAATTAAGCATTTCCTCGAATTTTTGGTTAAGTCTGGAGTTGGGGGTGGGCTAAAAATAACAATATTGAGAGGGTAATCTTACTTAATCCTCACACCATCTCCATAAAGTAAAGAAACCGGAGTACAGGCAAGTTAAATAACTTACCAAGGTCACATACCACTGAACCAGAATTTAAACTCAGGCTAAACATCACCCATCATTTCTAACATGTGCTGCTCTGGGTCAGCATCTTCGGAACAGTGAGGCCAGTAAAGTCCGACCCATGGATTTCTCATGACGGGTCTCATTTTCATCTCTCCAGTCCTTTTACAGGAAACCCTCCTTCCCAATCCTGTCCATAGGGTTCAGCTCTGTCCCCAGGAATGATCTATGGCCCAGGCCTAGTCAATGAGAAAATGATCTTTCTAGCCACAATGATAAGCACAGGCAAAGGCATGGGACTCAAGCTGGGCCAAGGAGTTGTAACCAGCACATTGACAGTTGCTTTAAGAATAATGCTGTTTGGCTACCATTACTCCTGGATTTTGCAGCTATGAGAGCCAACATATTTCCATTTTTCACTAAGCCAATTTGAGCTGGTTTTCTGTCACTTGCAACTGAAAGAGTCCTGACTAACAGAGTCCTTTTCTCAAGGCTAGAATATCTGACCAGATTGACCCCTCAGCTTTGTCCACTTATACGTGTCTACAGGTTGCTGGTCCACCTCAGTCTCTGTGATCCTGGCAATGTCCTTAGGAGCGCACTTTGGATTTCTGCCCATTAAACAGCGAAGAGGTGTGTGTGTGGGGTGCACCCAAGGACCAAAGATAGCATCAGTGTTCTTTCTGCAGCACAGCAGGGGATCGGGAACTGGGGTTTACCTGTACCACCCATGAGCTTGGTGACACAGGCAGATTACTTAAAGTACCTCCCTGTGCCTGACTTTCCTCATCTAGTGTGGATAACGATAGCATCTACCCTGCAGGATCATTTTGAGAAGTAGATTTATGTAAGTTAAGGACTTATAACAGTGCCTGGCATGTAAGAGGCATTACATAAATGTTCATAAGACCATCTCAATGCCGATTATTAATTTTGTAAAAGACAAATTAGAAAAAAAAAGCTTTTAAGACAGCTAGCCCAATTGGCAACTACAATACTATAGATAAGAGGAAATGAGACATCAGGGACATATCAGAGGTGGATGGACAGGATTGAGTTAAGGGGAGGTGGGACGTGCGTTTAGGGAGAGGGAACCACTAAGTTCACACCACTATTCTGCGTGACAGCAGAACCTGAAGACTTTAAGTTAGGCTTTAGAACCAGACTAATAAGGGTTCCCATCCTAGCTCTGCCATTTTTTTCTTTTTCTTTTTTTTTAAATTTTTTTGGGGGGGTACGCGGGCCTCTCACTGTTGTGGCCTCTTCCAATGTGGAGCACAGGCTCCGGACACGCAGGCTTAGCGGCCATGGCTCACAGGCCCAGCCGCTCCGCGGCATGTGGGATCTTCCCGGACCGGGGCATGAGCCCGTGTCCCCTGCATCAGCAGGCGGACTCTCAACCACTGCGCCACCAGGGAAGCCCTCTGCCATTTTTTAGCTGTGAGGTTATTGGAAAAATTATTCAGCCCCCCTGAAGTTCAGATTCTTTCTCTTAGAATGGGAACAATACCAAGTCCTCTCTCAAAGTGCTTTGTGAGGATAAATGGGACTGGGGATATTTAGTAGTGTGCACAAAAGGCAGCATCGTGGGGTCTAGTAAATACTAGATATTTTTAGTTGTAAGGTCTGAGGACTGGATTTCTGCTTATAAATACCTAAGATCTTTCACAGTTTTATTTGTGTTCATCTCAGAAGCGACTGACTTAATAGCTGCTGTGTTAGTAGAGATCTTTGGAAACAAACAGATGATTCAAATAGTTTTCAATACCCAACAACATTGGAGCTGAGGGGCTTTGACAGCAGCTACGTATCGGTCTGTGCGTTTTTGCCATACACCCACCTCTGTCTTCTGGCCGTTCCTATAAAGCTCAGGCAGTCGCATGAGGGTCTCTGCAGACACATCTTTCTCCAGGACACCGTAAATGATGGGTGGGGCGGATGTGAAAAGGAGGTTGAAGAAGATCAAGACCCAGTAGTCAGTCATGGATGTTCCTGAAAACCCACAAAAGAACTGGTACCAGAAAAGGAGGTTCACATAGGCCTAGGGACACAAAGAGGAACATTCGCGTCTTAGAGTCAGCAATGCGTGCTAGGACCGCACACGCCACACGCTGCTGTCCTGAGCCATGTGATCTCAGCCCCTCCTTTCCTCACTCACAGAATGGAAGACCACAACTTACCTTGCAGGTTTTTTTGGTAAATGTTTAACTAAATTAAAACACACACACACACACACACACACACATACACACACACACACACACACACACACCATTTACTATGTGGTGCTGGCACTGTTCTAAGAGCTCTGAAAAGAATACATTTAATTTTAGTAACAACTTGGGAATTACTGTTGTTCCCATTTTACAGATGAGGAAAGTAAGGCACGGAGAGGCTAAGGAACTTGCCCAAAGTTACCTGGCTAACACGTGGCAGAGTCAGTATTCAAATGCAGATGTTCTAGCTCCAGATGAAGAGAACCTAGCCCTATGCCTGGTATGTAGCAGCCATACAACAAGTGTTCATTCTCTTGCTTTCTGGGTTCACAGTTGAAATGGGATGGTGTCGGTTGAGTGGCCAACCATCCCAATTTGCTTGGGACTGAGGAATTTCCCAGGACATGGTACTCTTACTATAAAAACTAGGACAGTCCCAGGAAAACCAGGACAGGTGGTCATGCTAGAGGCCAGGCACATACATAGTTTCTTATTTTGTCTCACACAGAGTAAGTCCATGATAGCAAAAGCTCTGTGCCCTGAAGCAAGGCAGGCCACAGGAAAGGTCACTGGGCTTAGAATTAGGGGGTCTTGTTTCAAGTCCTAGGGAAACTTCCTATTGACTATATGACTTTAGGTCATTTTAATAACCTCTATGAATTTTGGTTTCTATGTCTGGAAAATGAGAATTATACGACATCAGGTCTTAGTATCAAGATCCAGTTAGCAACTGCTCATGACCTGAAAAATGCCTTTTTATCGATTTTAATTAATTGATTAAGATATTATTGTTGGCACCATAGATACACTGAAACACCTCAGGATGGGGACCACAATCCTTAGAATAGAGTTTCTTAGTCTAGGGTCCATGGATATGCATTATGCCTCACTCCTGAAAATGTACAGGTTTTAGGTATATGCGGTTTGGGGCACTATTCTGGGGAATGAATCCATAGTCCTTATCACTATCTCAAAAATTGCCCAAGATCCAAGAACCTTAGTCTCAGAAAGCTACGCTATTCGAATGGCTTCTGATACTGGCCCTGTTCTCCATCGTTTACAAACCATTTGTTGTTTGGCTAGGCAAGAAAGAGGCAGAAACAAGTCAGGAGGATTTCAGTGTGAACGGGCCGTCAAGGTTTACGGAGCAGAACGGCCCCAGGGTCCTTGCTCCCTGGTGATGTTCTCTCTACTAATAAACACCCCCTCTCTCCAAGGGCATGTGGCATCTCCTTTTTTTTTTTTCATGAGACAAAATTTTAAATACCTAACAACAGTTGGACATTTGTTTTATCATAATGTCCTAGTCTCTTTCTAATATTAGTTAGAAATATGGAGTTAAAAAGAAGGCGGAGAGGATGCAGTGGACTGCATCATAATAGAAGAGAAGGTAGAAAAATGCAAAGGTATTTTAAAAGCCCGGGAGACGGGCTCCCCTCTAAAAGTCATTGACCACTAAGTCCCGGAATTTTAAGTTACAAATCACAGCTTTCCCCAGAATCACACTGACAGAGATATTATACATTTCAAATATTTTCATACAGTGTCAAGGCTTTCTTAAACTTTGACTGAATATGCTAATTCCAATTAGGAAAGTACTGAAAGCTTCCTGAAAAGTTCATCTTGCTATAGGAAAAAAAAATGCTCCTGCTGACTGACCAACAGACAGACAGACACATATGCACGCACCGATCTAAATTACATATTTGGGATATCCTAAAAATGACCCATTAAAGTCATCTTTTTCCTAAAGATGGCATTTCAACAGAGTGATGTAAATTTCTGGTTACTACTAACTTGCTACATACACATTTTAAAGACCAAGAATAAATGTGGTCTGAAAATCCTGACATATTTACATAATCACCCCACCTAGAAGGGATTTAGGTGAAGCAATCTAAGGTCCACATGGGTTTATGAGAGAGAAAACTGAAATTTAAATGGTTTGCTGAAGATTCGAAGCCAGGAATCCTACTACTCAAATTCTGCCCTTCTATGAATTACATAGTCAAAATTAAGTTCCTTGACCATCAAATAGCTACCAAGCACAAACACATTTTACAGGCTTGCCAAAGAATTCTTCATCTGGGAGTGCTAGCCAGCTACAGCCTAAGGCACTATACTGGGTTTTCATCTGTATCTGTGTCTTCAATATACCACATGGGACATCCGTCTGGGGACAGCATATATACATATATCTCCTGTAAAATGGAAGCAAACCTTTTCATTCTCTACTGACAGAAAGCATTAAACATTTCATAATTCTGCTTGTCACAACCTTTTAAGGAAGGTCAAGAACTGGATTCTAAACGAATCAGACAGGGCTTAATTGAATTTAAATGCATAGGGAATAGAAAATGCTAGCAGATGGACAAGCCTAGCAATCTGCTGTCAGCAGCTGAAACACAGCACATTCCCAGATTATTCCTGGTAAGACAGCAGAAGTGCTCCTGGCTGCTTCCCAAACATCAACAAGCAAAGTGAGCTTAGCATCGGGCCCTTCCTCTTCACCCCTTACACAAGCTGGAGTGGAAGGGAGAAGGGAGGGGGGCAAATTTTCTGGAGCTACATACCACGTTCTTGTAGAAAAAATAGAGAATCATGTTGGAAAGTCGGGTATAACACCAGTGCCCGTGGACAAGGAGTAGCTTGCTGAGATGTTTAAACTGGGAAATGGCAAAGTCACTGGCCATCACAGCCTGCAGAGGCAATGCGGAAAGAACGTCACCCTGAGCCATGGAACATGTTAGAACAGACACAGCATAGCAGCCTAACCGCCAGCAGGCTCAGACTGGTCAAATATGTGGTTTAAACCTAAGACCGGAAAAAAAAAAAAAAAAAAACCTTTAAACAAACAAAAACCCATGAATACAGAGCCTTAACGGGTTACCTGGAGTTACCACTCAGTTTTCCAGTGTGGTCCAATGAAACAAAACTTCTCTCTGGTCACCATTCATGATGTAATCTCAGCAAGCGTACTTTCCCTAGACAGCAGCTCCCTTACCAAGAACTCTGTGCATTACAGTGTGCATTTGCTTGTCCTCCATGAGGAGGATATTAAAAGTATATAGTCGTGGGCTTCCCTGGTGGCGCAGTGGTTGAGAGTCCGCCTGCCGATGCAGGGGACACGGGTTCGTGCCCCGGTCCGGGAGGATCCCACATGACGCGGAGCGGCTGGGCCCATGAGCCATGGCCGCTGGGCCTGTGCGTCCGGAGCCTGTGCTCCGCAACGGGAGAGGCCACAACAGTGAGAGGCCCGCGTACCGTTAA